CCCCCCCCCCCCCCAAAAAAAAACGCAGACTGCCTCAGGCCAGAAAGCTGAGTCCCTGAGTCCCTGAGGCCAGAGGTCTAGGCGTCCTTTGCTGTGAAACTGGCCAAAACGCGGTATTTTTGCCGGCAAACTATGGGAATGTGATAAAGCTGCAACGAAACTTCTATTTTTGCAAAGGAAACTTCGAACGGACGACATTTTTGCTGCCAAACTTCGAAACAGCAATAAGAAGGTTTCAATTTCGTTATTAAAAAAAAAAATGTCCGTTTTGACGAAATCGCTATTGATAGCAAACGGACTGCCTCACAACGCCGTAGCAGACTCTTTGCGTCTGATCTATCACCATTTGTTTTGTACTCACCCGCGTCTGTTTTGTACTCAGATATATCACCACAAACAAAACTGTCAAAAAAGAAACCTCTGTGAAGAAATACCTCTGCAATTCACCCAAGAAAGAAACCTCTGTCAAAAAATAGCGGCGTGCCCTTTTCTGCTTCGACTCCTGATACTGTGACAGTACTCAGAACGATTCATCGAGCACATCCAAACTGGGGAGCTTGGATCAAAGCAAAAAAAAACCGTAGTAGTACTAAGACAATCTGACAATGTTGTACGGTCTCGGGTGTGTCCCAGAAAAGGAAAACAGAGATAACACCGACAAAATGAACAAACGGATCAACATAGAAACATAAACGTACTACACTTCTGTTTTACGCACTCGAATGAATCGAAATCTGTATAATTCTGTTTCGCGAAGCCTTGCAATGTTTGCATACCTCATTCAGTTCAGTGTTTAATTCAGGGAAAAGAATTTGACTTAACCGTTAGGAATCTTGAAAGAAAGGAATAATTTGACTTATCATTAACGAATGACTTAGAAACAGATTAATTTGACTTATCATTAACAAATGACTTAAAAATACGTCTTCCCAGTTTGTGCCAATCAGTAAGGAAATGGTTGTATCTATGGGACGCTGGACCCGGTTTCCAGCAGGTGCTGCTCCCCACCAATAGATGGAGCTTGTCTTAAAAAAAAAAAAAGAGCTTGTCTTAAAAAAAAACAAAAAAAAAAACAAAAAAAAAAACGTCTTCGAGTTGGAGGAAGCAAGGTTCATCGCTACACAAGGCACAAGGAGAGTGCATCCACAGATTCCACCTCTTTTTATTTTTCCAGCTACACAAGTCACAAGGAAAACTGCATCCGCACCTCGATAGAAGGTTCCAGTGAAAGTCACATCTCCACGGACTCCATGTATCCGATCCGAGCGAGGAGAGACACATGAAGTGCGTGGAGATGTGAATTTCACTGCAACCTTCTACCGAGGTGTGGATGCAGTTTTCTTGTGTAGCTGGAAACTAAGGACAGCGAAGAATATTAAAAAAAAAAAAAAAAAAAAAAGGACAGCCATGAATAGCAGGTTCGTTCTGAACTCGGCCAAACAACAAATAAGTGGTGTACCAGCAGTTAAACAAAGATTTAAACTTTCGATATGGTCTTTGTAAGTTGGTAACCAAACAAGGAATTAGAAGAAGCGGAATTTTTATTTTTCTGCTCTCTCATGCCTTGTCGTGACAAGGAGATCCCCCGTGCTTTGAGAAGAAATCAACCTTGCCTCGAGAGAGGACAAGTGCAAAAAGAGGGCAAGGGATCGGAAGGCCGCAGAGAAAGGAGGGAGGGAGAGTGAGAAAGTCGAAGAGAAGGTGCGTGTGTGAGAGAGATCGAGACAAAGAGATAGAGAGGGAGACATCGGCGACATAGGCAGCAGAGCATGGCTTTACAGCGGACAGGTAAACATAAGAAGAGAGGTGAGGAGAGGAGAAGAGAAGCGAAGGCAAAAAGAACCGCGGGTAGAGAGAGACACACACAGTCTCTCGCTCTTTTGCATGATTGCATCCAAAAGTCACACGATTTGCAACGCACGATCGACACCAATTACGAAAGAACACGTTATACTGGCAGAGAAAATAACAAGACGTCCGTCTCTGGGAAGGCCAATGCTTCTGGCAGTGATTGCTACAGCAACAATCGGATCCGTGATCATGAAAAAAAAAAAAAGATAAATAACAGCATCTTGAAAAATAAGAAAAGAAATGAGAAAACAGGAAAGTAGGACCGCTTCGGATCTTTGATGAAGATCAATAATCCAAAGCATCATGTGTGTCGCTGATTGAATCCACCGACAGCGAAGTTATTAACATAAGAACACCCAGATCTCCGCCATGAACGAGTTCGTATCGATGAAAAACTCTCTCTCTCTCTCTCTCTCTCTCTCTCTCTCTCTCTCTCTCTCTCTCTCTCTCTCTCTCTCTCTCTCTCTTTCCTCTCCCCCCCCCCCCCCCNCTCTCTCTCTCTCTCTCTCTCTCTCTCTCTCTCTCTCTCTCTCTCTCTCTCTCTCTCTCTCTCTCTCTCTCTCTCTCTCTCTCTCCCCCCTGCCCTTGTCTGGGTCGGTCTCGTTTAACATCGGTGAGTGAGAGAGTTTCCATCAACGAGCGTAGCAGCGATCAATTAAGACAGAGAAGAAAACCTAAGAAAAAAGTTTCAAGATCGGTCTCGCCGGCAAACCTGAGATGCGCCCGCAGTACGCACTTAAACAAGCAAAAACACGGGTACCTACATCACTCGTAGTCCATTATAATTACGTATTATTCGCCTCCTATAAATAAATCCAATCAACATCAAACTAACTCCCCTGTGAAATCGAGCACAATACCGAAGTTAACAGAATGTCCCCGATCAGACAGCATCGGCCTCGAGCGCCGTTACTTTCCGGTCAACGCCGTACAGCTTGATTCCAGTCCCATTGATATACACGTCCCTGTAGAGCTCTCTGCCATCGGGCTCAGCATTATTCTTAGCGAATTCGACTGCTTCATTTACTTCCTTGGTGACCGTCTTCTCGACAGCCTTGAGGTCTTCTTTGGAGATCAAATCGTTTCCAAGAAGCAGCTTCTTCACTCTCTCGATCGGATCTCTTGTCTGCCGAATTCCGGTGATCTCCTCTCTCGTCCGATAGGTGCTGCCGGGGTCAGACATGGAATGACCATGGTAACGGTACGTATCGACTTCAACGATCATAGGCGCGCTCGTAGAGAGCACATGCTCCTTGGCAAAAGCGATGGCTTTCTTCACAGCCAAGACATCCATACCGTCGACCCAGAGGCCAGGAACATAATCCCCGCGAGTGTAAAAGTCGATGCTCTTTGCCGCCCTCCGATCAGCAGTGCCCAGCCCGTAGTGGTTGTTCTCGCAGAGATACAGAACGGGCAGCTTCCACAGGGCCGCCATGTTCAGAGACTCGAAGAACTGGCCCTGATTGGCGGCACCATCTCCGTACATGGTAATACTGACAGCTGGCTTGTTGAGGTACTTGAGAGCGAAGCCCAGGCCTGCACCAATAGGAGTCTGAGCACCGACAATGCCCTGCCCGCCGTAGAAGTTGGTTTCGCGGCGATACATGTGCATCGAGCCGCCTTTGCCCTTGGAACAGCCGTCTTTGCGACCCAACATCTCTCCCATCACATCCTGGACCCTCCCTCCGCGGCCGATCTGGATGCAATGATCTCTGTATGAAGTAATAATGGTATCTTCGGGGGTGATTGCAGCCTCTAGTCCGACACAGACTGCCTCCTGCCCGTCGTACAAATGGCAGAAACCGCGCACCAGCTTGCCCTTGTAGAGATTGTCGAATGCCAACTCCATGCGACGCATTCGATACATCTCCTCGTAGAATTTGACAAGCTCCTCAGCGCTCGTTTGCACCTCTGTTGAAGGCGGGTCAATCTTGTATCCTTTGTAAGGTGTCTGAACCTGCACCTTCAGCGGCTCCGACGATGGCGCCGCAGCGTATCCTCTTCGACTCGTCTGTCGCCATGCTCCCATTCCGCTGGCCGCTCCCATCGCCTGCCTCATTCCAGCGGCACCTTGCCCCGTCAGCAATCTCTGCCCCACACGCTTCAACGACATCACCACCGCAGACCTGGCCGCCATCTCGCTCTCTCTGTGTCTGTGTGTTGTGTGTGTGTGTGAGAGAGAGAGAAAGGGAAGATGGAACGCCTTAGCAGATTGTTAGGGCACACACTACTAGCAACCCAACTCTGGAGGAGTTGACAAGGAGGCAGGGAGAGGATCAACGTCCAGCGTACAATCCTTCGCCCTCTACTGCAGGAAAGCAGCACCAGAACCGGCAACCCCGGATGGAAGCTGCTGCGTATCTCCTGGCTGTAGGGGCTTGCAAGCACCTTGGTCTTAAGAACCGCCCGACTGCCGGGGCAGGAATACGACAAACGGCGAGGCATAAGGGAGCGCTGAGGGCGTCCACCAGTTCTCTTCGGTGGGCATCTGATCGCGATCACGTCCCGGTGCGTTCCCAATAGTTGGGGCGTACGTACGACCTCAGCAGCCTTTCTGCGTGGCGCCAATGAGCGTCTGACCTGAATCTGAGCGCAATTACAGTCAGGCTCGGCTCAAGAAGTCCTTCGGCGGGAATATTCTAATTTCTAAGCAATGTAATCATCCTTGTCCGATAACTGCAGTCAGCGTGAACGACAGCCTCCAAAAGCTCGCAACTTGCCAGCTCCCTCGCCGCGCCACTCGCCAAATGCCAAGATTTTGAATGCAGCTGGGCGAAAAATCGGCTCAGATGCATTGAAAATATAATATTTGGGGTTGGCAAGTGGTGTGGCTCGGCCCAATCACGCAAAGCTTCACAGCTGTAATCGATGTGCGCCATTCGCCGTGTGGAACTTCAACCTTTGCACCACCAGTTTCATGCTGACGCAGCGTCTTCCTGTGGCTGCGTGGCTGCAGTACTCACCAAATGTGTGAAATGGAGAAAGTATCTGGCCATAGGCGATGGGCATATTCGCCCGCCACAGTTTGTTTTTCTTCACATTTGGTGAGTACCAAGGCGATGTCGCAAATCTCGGGGATCTAAAAAAAGCTTCGTACTTCGGAACTGCAGACTGGTCAGCGCTCTACTAGCAAACAAAGTCCTCCGAGACATCCTTTAAAACTGGAACGATACAGAGAAGATTAGCATGGCCCCTGCACAAGGATGACACGCGTAAATTGAGAAATGGTCCAAAAAAAAAAAAAAACACAAGCAAACAAAAAAGAGGCCAGGCCTGGCTACGCTACCCTCCAGAGGGGGCAAGCGTGGTAGCCCAGTTGGTTAGAACTCCCGCTTTCCAAGCAAGAGGTTGTGGGTTCCATTCGGGTCGGCCCTCACAGCTTGTACACATGCGTGGTTGGTGTTACATGATACCCCACGTACTTGCCCCCCACCCTGGCGCAGCAGGCAGAACCTTGTGGAAGGGTTTGGGGAGCACTGCTTGATGGGCCATCATGGGATATCGCCGAGATGAGAAGTAGACGGCCTAGGGGCTTGCCGGACAGCAAAGAAAACGAGAACAAAAACTATTTCGTTTCGTTTCCCGCACAGTGCCCGCGTGAATCCTGTCAGTAAAAACTCACGAATGGTGTCAGAACCGGGCTAAAAACTCACGAATGCGGTCAGAACCCGGCTTCACGATGCCTCGTATGTGCACAGCCATTGCCTGCCTGCAAAACGCGCGAAGTCGCTGGATTGGTGGAGGAGGTGTGAAATCTCCACGTTAGAGGGACCTTCCAGAAATTTGGAACTTATCGCATGCCAGCCCTTGCGAGCATGGATCGAACCACGCGATTCCTCACAGAGGGCGGTGTCCATTGCTTGGGTCCATGGCATGGGGCGGTCCAGCGACGCCGGCCCAAAGGTGTGCTGCCCCGCTGATAGTAAGTGAAGGTGTAATGGCAGGATGCCCGCTTCGACGCGAGCAAGGTACGCCAAGTGCTGTTTGGTGGTGGTGGGTGTCCGTAGCCTGGATGCCGAGATCGACATCACCGGGACAGTGGACGGTGGTGTCATGGCCTTGGCATCGTGTCTGCTTCGCCCCGATCGCCTCATGTGTCGTCATGCTACGGTGGATGTCAGGATGTGAGCATCCGCAACTCAGTTGCAGCCTTACAATCGGATCTCCACCGTTGCAGCCTGACGAGCATCATGTCAACCGTAGTAGTTGGCTCCGTCTCCCCGTGGAATACATGTGATGCCGCCCCATACCCCCACATCGATAGCATGGTCAAGGAAGTTGGCACAAGTATGGCACAAAACGGTACAGACACCCTTACAAGGGTATCTGCTCGGGGTTTTCCACTGTCGAATGTTGTCTGACCTTTTCGTTGAACTGAAGGACTTGATGTGATTGATGTCTGCCAAAAGTTCATTCAGACAAACCTATGACTGAAAGACTGAAACTTTTTTGAACTTCAGTTCGGACCCTTGCGTCGTCCAAAAATAATGGCGGTAGTCGGCAGTTTTTCTCGAGGCCGCAAAGGCATGCGGACATGGAAATGGTAAAGCTAGACCTATGCTAGCAGCCGCGCAATTCAGGGCCTAGGTAGACTAAAAAGAACGGTCGCGTCGGGTATGGGGCTGCGGGATTTGATTTCGCGTCGGGAGCCGAGAAGCCGGCGTCGCGGCCTGCACGGTTGGGTGGCCGCTCAAGCTATCGATAGATAGCCGGTGCTGCAGCAAACACCCTTACAAGGGTATTTGCTCATAATTTTGCATGAGATACAGTATCGGTACCGGTTGCTGTGTCGAGGACAGTCTAGAGTAAAAAGTAAGAATGTTTTGGCATAGTGTCGTGAGGCGAACTCCTCGACCACTGAGGCCAAGGTTGCTAAGTGGCCATACGCGGCAAAGCGGCGCATACAACAATAGGTGAAGGTAAGTTAAAATTAAACGCCTTCAGCCATACGGGCCGGAAGGACACACAGAAACGAGAGAGGTCGTGGGGGATGCGACGACAACACACTTAGTCAGGGGTTTCTGGCTGAAGTACCAAGATGGGTTAGTTAATTAGAATTTGTGGGAGTCAGGCATTGACGGGAGTTGGGAAAACGGCAACGCGTCCCACCATAAATCCGAAAGTGGGGTTGAGAAATTAGTATAGGCCCCGACCATGAAGCCGGGGAAGCCAAAAGAAACATCATGTTGTCTGCGATATCTAGGCGGCAACGACCGATGCCGGTCGAATCCTACTATAGAGAACGGGTTGTGGGCTTGTTAACCGACTAAACTAGGCCTTATGCTCTATCTATATCGAGACTGCCTTTGTTTTAATTAAGCTAAGAGCTAGCCCAGTAGGTATAGGTGTGGATTGATACGTAGGAGGTGCGGGGATTGAGTCCATCCTGCCCTCTGAGCGAATTCATTTTGATGAAGATCGTGGTAAGCCCTGGCCATTTGAACTCCACTTCCGAATAAACGAGGTTTGAACCCGCAACTAATAAATCAAGAACTAAACAGTTGGTAACAATTGTGGGCTCCTGTCGTGACAGAAGCCCAACAGTTGGCAGAACAGGGCATAAAGAACCGTAATTTGGTTATTATTATTATTATTATCTTCCTTTTTTTTCTTAGTTTTTCGGTTAGTTTCGGTGCATTATATCTTTTTTAGGTTCCTTTGGATTTTGCACGAGCTTTTAAGCTGTCACTCCGAATAAATCTTACATAGGATGAAAGATTCATTGGGTAAGAGGAGAGTAACGCCCTCTCTCTGAAAACTACCGGGAGCCTAGTACGAAAGGCAATGGTCTCAACGAACTCAGTCGTGTGATTGACAACAATGAATCTTCCGCTGGGGACATTGGAAAAGAAAAAAGAGTAAGAGAAAAAACGGACATTACAATCAAAATCTAGATCTGCGTAGCTTCGTGCTCCTGCATTTAGGATGACAGCAAGACTAGATTTGTCAAGGTCGCAATGCGAACTAGGGATGAAGAACGCTGCCTTATAAATTTGAAGTCCAATACAATGTGTATTTTTTGTTCTTAGAAAATAGTAAAATATCACATGAATCTGCCATGATTTAAGGGGCAAATTTTTCGAGTAAAGGATAAAACAGCGGGCCATAAGTGCGCTCGCGGGGTCGATGCTGAAAGAGGGGGGGGAGAAAGAAAAAAAAAGTGAAAGCAGAAGGTAAATATGAGCAGGCAAGCCATAGTTATTATAAGCTAAACGCAGAAGGGATTAGTAATAGGCCGCGAGAGCAGGAGCTGACCGCAAGTACGAGTGTGAGGAAAAAAACATCAAGCGACCAGATATTTAGGAGAGAGTAAGCAACGTGCTTGTGCAAAAACAAACTAACAGGAGTGTATGAACGACCGCAAACACAAGCGGGAGGAGAGCAACAGTTGATCGTGAGTACAGACAAGAGTGCGAGGGAGGAAGGAAGGAGAGAAGCGCATAAGAAAGGAGAAGGGGTTAGCAAAAAGGGGACGAAGAGGAGAAAAAAGAACGCTCGTTATACGGTTATGTTTCTGTTGTATCTTGCCGAAAAATAAGGTGCAAATATTTTCCGCTAGAATAAGAGATTGAGAAGTAAGAGAGACAGCTGGAGCAGGGAAGAAGGAAGGTAGTAGGGTAGATCGAGTAAAGAAGAGGGGAAGGAGTAAAGATACGAGGAGAGGGTGAGGAGGAGAAACGAGACAGTCGATAAGAACGATTTTGAACGAAGCTTGGGACGTTATTTCGGAATCAAGTTACCATCGGTTATCTGGACGAGTACGCCACGCGGTATAGGACACGAGCGACAGACGATTCTTCAAAAGGAGACAACTTGAAGGTGGGTCCCTTGCGTTCTCCTTCGTTTATCGATTTTCCTCCGTACTCTCGACCTATCTCATAAGTTACGAGGGGTAATTATAATACTTTTTCATGACTATTTGTTATTATTACTAAGATCACTTCTACTACTATTTATTATTTCGCCTTTTATAACGAGGGTAGATCGTTATAATTACCGATCTTAAGTGAGGAAGAAGCCTAGTGAGCACGAATCATCAGCACGCGCTAATTACTTCCCTAGCTATTAAACATATCGTCGTTGCTCCTACCAACGGAATGATTATGAATCAAGTGAAAAGCCTGGAATACGCACCTATTGTCTTCTCGCCGGAGTCTCGACAATGCATCCGCTACTTATCATGTATGAGGGTGAAGACTTGTAGGATACGTAAAGCATCCACCGATGGCGTCGTAAGGAAGGACCATGTTCCGCCCAACTCGTTGGAAGGCACGCTTGTGCTAGTCATGCCCCTCCCTACTCTCGACCTATCTCATAAGTTACGAGGGGTAATTATAATACTTTTTCATGACTATTTGTTATTATTACTAAGATCACTACTACTACTATTTATTATTTCGCCTTCTTTAATGAGGGTAGATCGTTATAATTACCGATCGTAAGTGAGGAAGAAGCCTAGTGAGCACAAATCATCAACACGT